TGCAATATTATGAAGGATAATTCCAAAAGCTTATATCTTAAAAAATGAGTTAATATTAGATGAGTAAATATTTAGATATCAGTAAAATTAAAAAAAAAAAACAAACAAAAAAAAAACAACTTTAAATATCAGAATTCTCAACCATTACAAAAAAAAATTTGCAAAAATGACTTTTGTCAAATTTTTCTCATTTTAATATCCATTAAAACAAGAGTAAAGTTAGAGAAAAATTATATGCATTTTAACTTAAAAAATTTACCAATGAGATTATATATATATATATATATATATATATATATATATATATATATATATATAATTAGTGTTTGAACCTTTTTTTATATTATATTCTTGTTCTGTCCTGGACATTGAGCTCTACCTAGATTCTATCCTCTTCGAAATTTTATATATATATATATATATATATATATAAAAAGAGAGAGACCTGCATTTGAGTAGATGGCCTGTTTTTTTTTTTTTTTTTTAACAGTATTTATTTGGTCTACATATACTTGAGAAAACTTATGAAATCAAATAAGTCTTTTAGCAGGATTTGCACACAAATACACACTAAAAATATATATATATAGATATATATATATTTGGGCAGAAATCCCTCTTTTTATGCAAGTTTCATCAAGAATGACTGACAAAGTTAAGTGTTTTATATAATTTTTCATGTGTTATAATTTTTTTTCTTTTCTGGATGTAACTTATATAAAAATTGTCCAAATGTTTTATATGTCAGAGTTATAAAAGTATAGCTTAAAGTGCTCAGACATAAAACATTTGGACAATTTTTAGGGAGACAATGGGGAGTGGGAATGTTGGCTTATATTTTCATTGTTTAAATTTCTCAATTTGTTGTTTTAGTCAAAGAACAATGTTTTGAGGGTCAAAGATATGAAGATAAATCCTGTCATTGATGAGCAGGTGATCTGGTTTATATTTTCACTAGACAGAGATAAACCCAGAAATGGAGAAATAATTTTATCTCTTCTTTGAGAATTTAAGAAAATATCAATGGCAGGAGAGAAAGAGAGTGGTCTGAATTATATTGTTGGTGATGAAAAGGGTTTTTTGAGGGTTGGAAGTTATGAAAACAAATCCTGTCATTGACAAAAGCAGGTGATCAGTTTATATTTTCCCTAGACATAGAAAAGTCCAAGAATAGAGAAATAATTTCATCTCTTCCTTGAGGAATCAAGAGAATTAAAATTAATGACTAGTATAAAACTATGCCCTTTGCCCACACACTTTAAAAATTAGATTTGTCATAAAGACAGTTATGCCTGCCTTGGGAGGTAGGCCGAGAAGGAAGGCAGAAGAGTGATAATTTGATGCCACCTGTGTGGAGTGATGGTGCAAAATGTAAAGTAAAGCAGGTTGGAGTTTAAGGGAGGAGGAATCCCTGTAACTACTCCCAAGAAGGTAGATAATTCTCTAAATTTTCAAAGTTGATTAAGAAAGCAGAAATAGGGAATAGAGAACCTTTATTGGGATTAATGTGAAAATTGAAGAATCAACAAATCCCCAGAAAGTTTTGGCCTCATGCCAGTTTTGGGCCAAAGTGCATATAAGCAGATAGCTTTGAGAGCTCAAAGACTTGGGCTGCATCGAGTGCCTCTGGAATCCATTTCAGCTGCCACCAGATTTCCTGATTCTGAAGAACTTTGAACCCTGAATATTAGACAAAGCACCATGTCACTAGTGAGATTAATGTGGGAAGGGTTAATTTTTTCATGCCAAAAACTATATAAAACATTTGAAGTTTAACACAATGTATCTTTAGTTTTTATTTTTTGTTGTGAAGATATTTCTTTGCTTAATGTAGCACCCACCACTGCTTGAGCCATTACTATGACATCTGATCTTCCACTGTTCCGAGATCAAGAACACAATGTGTGCAGATGTGATGTGGATTGAAGTGGCCAGCAACCAAGAACCAGCTTGGACCAGTGTCAGCATTGACCATTACAGAGTTAGTCCAATGGTTAAAATGTTGTCCTAAAACTAAGAGAACCTGACCAGTAAATGTGGTTGCACCATTGGGTGTAGGTGGTGGTAAAAGGGGTTTTAATAGGAGTAAAAGAAAAATTGTAAAAAAAAAAACAAAAAAAAACAAAAACAAAAAACTTAGCCACAGTACCTTGTCAGTCATTTTTAATGAAACTTACATACATAATATAAAAGGCTCAAACACTAATATTCCATGGTTATAGTTTATTACATTGGAATCGTAATCATGATCCAATTCATCAGAACTACAAATTCAAAAAGCTTTTTAAATTTGTAGGTCTGATGAATTGGATCATGATTACGATTCCACAGTAATAAATTATAACCATGAAATATTAGTGTTTGAGCCTTTTATATAATATTCTTACTCTGGACATTGAGTTCTACCTGGATTCTATCCTCTTGGGAATTTATATATATATATATATATATATATATATATATATATACACACACACACATTGACCACTAATATTATATATATATATATATATATATATTTTACACACTTGTGTACATGTAAAACAAAAGAAAGAATATATTTACAAGAAAATTTATTATGCACAATATGTGTGTGTATACAACACATAAGTGGACAATACTCAGAGCATTTCACAATTAATACTTACATAAAAACATTAGTTGTTTAGTGACTGCTATACTAAATGTAATGTAGACAATTCTTAAATACATAACAAGGCATAGACACTATAACAAAGGTTACATTTTATAAACATATCTCATGGACAGAATACAAGGCACTATGTGTCTCAGATTTTTAAGCAACAGGTTCTATTTAATACTACATATAAATATATTTAATATTATACAAGACACTACATTGCAAGTACATGTATAATCATGTATTCTTTAGAAAGTACGCATCTAGGACTAATTCTATAAAATATATTTAGCAAATAGAAGAAGAACAGAGGATAGATGAAGGACTTATCAGCTTCAAGCTAAGCTGATCAGGAGTAGAGATTACAACATTTTTTATTATCTTTTTAAAGAAATTCTTGTCTTTAGTTCATGGAAGTCAGTAATAAACATGCTTCTGAACAAACCTGTGACTGGGTGAGATACCAACGATAACGAATGGTTGTAGTAGATTTTCGACTTTCAAGCATATGATCAGGGGATCTTGCCTATATTGAAAAAGAAAGAAGTCAGGATATCACTTAAATGTGGGTTTATGTTAACCAGACAATGGTCGGATACTTGGAGAGTTTCTTTTCTTCTTTTCCACCCCCCTCCCCTTTGGGAGAGATGAAGGAAAGAGTTGAAGAGATGGATTGAATCTGAAATAATTAAATAAAAAGCAAGAAGGAATTTTTTTTTTAATTTAAAGTTTTTATATTTTAGAAAATTTTTATTTAAAAAAAAAAATTTGATTTCCAAAATTTTCTGATGACATTCAAATCATTACAATTAGTGATATTTTTCTATTTGTTCTCTACTTTTAGAACATATATATATTCTTTTAAATGTTTTATTAAAAAAAAATAAAATAAAAAAACATGCCTATTCAATTTTTTTTTTTTTCTGATATGCAAATAACTTTTCACAAATATGGATATTTTATTCATCAGTAACACCCAAGCTATTCACAAAAAATATGACCAATAGATTTAATGGGCATAAAAAAAAATCATAGGCAGAAATGATAATACATGATAGTTTCAGCATTTTCGCAATGTTTTCTAAAATACGTTCTCTATTTTAACATTTTTTAAATCACACGTTTTAATGAAATTTTTTAAATAAAAAAAAAATTGTTAAAATATCAACTGCAAATATTTTTTTCATGAACAAATTTTTATTTATACATCTAATATTTACTGAATTTAGGTTATGATGATATAAGAAATAATAAAATTAAGTGAAGGAAAAGGAAGATTGTATTGTTTCAATCTTCTAGGTGGGGAGGATTAGCTTGTCTTGGAAACAAAGTTTGAACACCTGATAATGGTAGGAAATATGTTGGATTAAATATAATTTACAAAATTCCTTTTTAATTGAAAGTCAATTAATCCCAAATAATTTCCAAGAAGGAACTCTAACAAAACCCCCCCCAGGGAGCTTTTTGTTGCTCTGATGCACTGCAATAATTTTATTACAGCACTTGACCCAAAAATTTATAACCACATTTTCTCACATAAAAAAAAATTATCCACTTAAGATTCAGATCTTTAAGAAAAAAGAAAAAAAAAAAAAAAAAAAAAAAAAAAAGCCCTTATTTTTCAAATCTGGGCAAATCTGTACATTATTTCTCAAATGAACAAAAATTGACCACAACATTTGCCTAAAGTCTAAATAACCACTACTAAGCTAAACGGAAATTTAACATTTTACCAGAGCTGCAATATCCTTAACCCTAACTTTTTGTTTCTTACTCAGTTATTCTGAGATCTTTTTAGCCGCAGTTTTAAGTAACATCATCACACCACGAAATGGAGTAAGTGCAATTATTAACCAATTTTAAACAAAAACTATTTTTGATGAGTATTATATTTATTTCAGATTAAAAAAAAAAAAATGCTACAAACTTGAAACTTAAATAAACAAAAAATATAACAAAACATGTAATTTTAGAAGATTTCTCTAAAATTATAAAAGAATTATGACGTTTGGGTTTTTAATGTCAATCTTTAGATGAAGCAGAAAAAAACAGTAATTTCTTATCTCTTGGCAATGGAAATACACAGGAACAAAAGAAAATTTAAATTCAGAAGACACCTGAGTTTCTTATGCAAAAACAAATTTAGTCTATTTATAGCGTACTTAGCAAGAGTGTGTTTATAGAAAAATGAGTCACGAGGTGGGGGGTGATATCTTCACTTCGTATGGAATATTCTCTATGGATCTGGATAATTTCCACTGATGTTCTTAAAAATTAAATGCGGTAAACATTGTTGCAAAAGAAAAAAAAATTCTTTGGTTCAGTGCATTGCATAAGTTTTTGTAAATTTAAACAATGTTCACAGATGGCAAATGAACTTGAATGCAAAAAGATATATAAAAACGAAAATATTTGAAAAGATGGTGGGAAAGCACCAGAGGGGGAGGAAGGAAATGTACCCGAGCAAGAGAGAGGTGGGGAGCAACGAAATGTACCTGAGCAAGAGAGAGGTGGGGAGCAACGAAATGCACCCGAGCAAGAGAGAGGTGGGGAGCAAGGAAATGCACCCGCAGCAGAGAGGGGGGGAGCAAGGAAATGCACCCACCAGCAGCAGAGAGAGGTGGGGGGAGCAAGGAAATGCACCCGCAGCAGAGAGAGGTGGGGAGCAAGGAAATGCACCCGCAGCAGAGAGAGGTGGGGAGCAAGGAAATGCACCCGCAGCAGAGAGAGGTGGGGAGCAAGGAAATGCACCCGCAGCAGAGAGAGGTGGGGAGGAAGGAATGTAGGAAATTAACCCCCAGCTGAGTGAGGGGAGGAAGGAAATGCACTCAAGACAAACAGTGGAAAGGAGGTGAAAAATGTGCTCACAACAGAGAGCAAAGAAGTGCACCATAGAAAGGGGGGAGGATAAAAAACATGCAAACTCGTGGCACAAATGCCTGAAAATATGAAAATGTACAGAATAAGAAATCTGAGAAAATAAAAATAATAAAAAGTAGTGATATGCCTCTAAGCTGAAGATCCCCCACCCCCACCAGTCTTCAATCCTCCCACCTTTGACATTAGATTTTTTGGGGCAAAATCAATCTGTTGTCCTCTTCCCCAATCCTTCAGGTGCCAATCCTGCAATTAGAAAAGTGAAGAATGGAATTTTCTTCATTCCTCACTTATTTTCAGACCATCTTATTGTTTTGGGTGGGTAGAGAGAAATGGTAAACCAACAGGTGAGAAGCAGGATGACCTGAGTAAATTAGTATCAACGGTTGGTGAGAAGCAAATGGTGAAGAGATCTGAGAAATGAAAGTATGTTAATAATGTTTGTCTGTTTCCTTCTTTTGTTTTTTTTTTCTTCTTTTCTTAGTATGTTTGTATGCGTGGAGGTGGAGGAGAGGCAAACCACAAGAACATTCCCCATTCCGATTCTCACATTGCTAAATGACATATTGGAAGGATCTCCAAAAATAGACACTAGTCAAAAGGTGGGGAGCGAGAGAAAAAAAAAAAAAAAAAAAAAAAAAAATTTTTTTTTCAGTCAATATTACAAATCTTTTCTTATCCAACTTATGTTTACCCAGAACAAAAATAAAGGCATATTTTGTTTTTACTATTAAATTTTCAAATTTTTTTTCAGATATATTTTCCCCATACTGCCGTAATTTATCCGTTCAGATTCTTTTTCTTTTTATCACCCATCTTTTATCTTGAAAAGGTTCACAATTATCATAAATACATTGCTACTTTACAAAATTAAAGGTTACAAATACACTTAGTGTATACAGTAAGATTGACTACATGAAAACAAATTCCTACTATGCTACCTACAACCAAACCATAACAGAAAAAGACTAAATAAAATCCTATAACCTAAATCTAAAACTTTATTGCAAATACAAAAACTTAGAACCAAAGAAATATAGAAAACAATAAATAAAGAAAATAAATAGATAAAATAATCAAACTATAAATAAGCCCTAAACAAAATTAGAAAGGGCTACTTTCCACCTTCTTCCACTTCCTTTAATACCCCAGTGGCTTATATATCGAAGCTGCTATCCACTACTCCACCATGCCTCCATATATATATGTGTGTGTGTGTGTGTGTACGCTTGTATCATGCTACTTTTTTAAGATAATTTGACTACAGTAAATGGATATATAGCTTGGTCAATGGTGTAGACAGGGCCACCAGTAAATACACTAATTTTATATCTCATGTATAATGTGATCCCCTTAAGATTAGCTTTAAAATTAGGTCTTCAAAAATTGAAGATATATATATATATATATATATATATATATATATATATATATATATATATATATATATATATATGTGTGTGTGTCCTGGTGGTGTAATGGATAGTTGCTTGGAATAAGAACTTGAGAAAGGTAGGCATCTTTCTCTTCAATTCCCACCAATTTAACCTTATGCTTAAAGAGTATTAATTCAAAAACATGGGGATGACTGTCTGAGGACTTAATGGCACAACATGTGATGTTTTCTGCATTTATTTAAAAATAAATAAATAAATAAAAAATTAGGATAGTACTGCACAAGTCTTCAAGACTAATCAAATCAGGTGTGTGAGTAGTTTGGCTGTATGGTTCTAAGAACTGACCTTCACATTAAAGGCAATAGGGGAGTCTATCATCATTTTATATATATATATATATATATATATATATATATGTGTGTGTGTATGTGAATTTGTGTGACTCTGGTGGTATAGTGACATCACTAATCATCAAGTCTTTGAACAGCACTGGCTCTATCAGTATTGTATCTGTTTATCAAGGCACAACTCTGGTGGGTAGCAAATCCTATGTGTATGTCAAGATGCCTGTTCTGTAAGAGATATGGTATGTGGCAAAAGACAGAAGCTTCTCCCCCAAAAAAATTTCCACCAAAATTCTACCAAACCCAAGCAGAAATCATTCATGTTAGTGGGCCATCATCAAATCCAATCTTTATCAATTGTGAAGACACTCTTGTCAACAACAACTTGCTACAGAGATATTATAGATTTTCAAAAGTCTGGCTATGTGTTTATATATATATATATATATATATATATATATATATATATATATATATATATATATATATAAAATGGAGCATTTGAAGATCTAATTTGACCACAGTAAATGGATACATAGTTTGGTCAATGGTATAGCCAGGGCCAGCAGTAAAATATACTAATTTTATATTTTGTGTATGACATGACCCCCTTAAGATTAGCTTCAAAATTAGGTTTTAAAAAGTTGGAGGATACGCGAATATATATATATATATATATATATATATATATATACACACACATCAAACTTAGTATAAAGATAATGAAAACTGAGAAAAATGGCAGTCAATTGCTAAAACCTGATAAGTGGAGTGAATAATTACAAAAGATTCATCTAAAAAAAAAAAAAAAAAAAAAAAAACCTCTGAAGTCGAGAGGCTGAATATCACCTCAATCAGCAAAGTGGCAAATTTTATTAGCATTAATCCTATATATCATACATGTATACAAGAATGCAGTGTAACCTGATAAAAATTTATTAACTCAATTTTGATCTTTTCACTGAACAATCTTTAATCATGCAATTAGTAGACAACACAGAATGACGTTCATTGATAAATTTGCAGATTATATTGAAAAATAAATTTGTTGTATGTGTGTATATATATTTTTTTATGAATTCCTTGTTTAATCAAGAATTTTCCAAGACCCCCTTGTGTGTGAATGTGTGTAAAAGCTCAGAAAAGTTTCAGTAAAAGGGGAGTTCCTGCCATATAGGGGGTAGGTCAATTTGCTTTGTTAAGTGTGAAGGAAAAAATAAACTTTGAAACTAAACCACATATTTCATATGGGAAGAAAAACAAATTTTTTTAAAAAATATCAAAAATATGATTCCACTATTTTCCTGCTACACTGTCTTTGGCCTGATTACTCCTCACAGTCTGATATTTCCAAGCTTTTATTTTCTACATTTTCAAATAATTCTCAAAGTAATTATGACTTACCTTTATATACACGAGAAAGAAATGGATATTTTGTACAACCAACAAAGTAGATTCACCTGCTTGTTCTTTTTTTTTTCCTTAGTAAATATTTTACTAAATTATAAAAGGTTTATCAGCATGAAATTTATAACAAATGTAAATCATTCTTGACATTGTCATCTAGAACCATAGGTGCAATTTTAAACTCTCTCTCTCTCTATATATATATATATATATATATATATATATATATATATATATATATATATCTCCCCTATTATTTGGGTCCATGAGTGCATGACTGGCCTGTTTCAGGTCTTATATAATTATATTTCTTACCTGTACCAAAGGTCAAATTTTGGTTAAAAATGTCGATTGTCAATTCCAGTCAAGATACACAGGTATTCTAATTTTAATAGCTTTGACTATTCTTTTATGTATTCTTTCAGGATGTAAACAATCATGGCTCTCCACAACTTCCTATCCTTTGTAGCTTTAAGTAATGTTTGTTTTCTTACTATTCTTCCCAATACCTGTTCTGCTATTTATTTACACAAAAACATTAGGCAGTGTGATCATAGCTCTCTACAACTTCCTATCCTCTGAAGTTCTAAGCAGTGTCTGTCCTTTTACTATCTGTCCCTGATCTGACAGCCATCCACACAAACATGTTACTATTTCTCCCCATTTCTCTTGCTTTCAACATATCCTGTGAGTGTTAAATTCTCTAGGCTCTCTTTTCTCATTATGTGTTCCAGATATTTTAACTGTATTTTCTAAATGTAAGTATAATTTTCCTTAGAACTTCCTTGTTGCCCACATGTTCTGTCCATGGGATTCTGAGAACCATATCTGTCACCAACTAAGCCTCATAACGAAAATGTCCTTGCACCTATCTTAAGATTAAAATAGTTACCTATTTCATCACTTCGGTATATTAAAAGCCAAGATTTTTAATGTTGGTGGGTTAGCTTATTCCATTTATTGAAAGATTACTGCAACATAAACTTCCTACTTTTATTTGACCATCTGCTGTAACAAGCTAAGCAAAATATATATCCGCTCATTGCCCAGACAGCTGTGTGATCAATGGTTGTTTGTTTTTTATGTAATGTCAAAAAGAATATAAGCTATCCCCTCAAAGTCAACTCTCAGAAACATTGGAAATTTATATCTAAAGAAGAAAATAAATAGAGAAGTCTGGTATGGCATACCAAATACAAAGAGAGAAAGAGCCACACTAACCTCTGTGGGATGAGGTCAAAATAAGATTTTTTTTTTTTTTTTTTTATAACTTTACTTTTAGGTCAATCAAGCCAGGAAATATTTTTTTAGACCACACACATTTTTGGGAGATAATAATGATTTACTGATAAATGTCCTACAAATTAACCAATAGCTGGAGGGGGGGGGGGGAGAGAAGAAGTGGGTTCATGCCTTCCCCCAAAGGTATTTGCATATTTCAAATTCTAATTGGTTATTAATTACATCACCCGAACATCCAAGCTTACAAATCCTGGTATTCTCATCTAGGTACTGACTAGGCTCAATGTTGCTTAACTCTAGTGATCATAGAAGAACCAATGTTTCAACATGATATAACTGTAAGCTGTCTAAATAAGAGAGCATTGTTGGAAGATGAGACAATTAAAGGAAAGCCTATATTAGTCTGATTTGATATGAATACAGGATTGCTTTATCAGTCATGTTATAACTTGGGTAGTCATGACAAGTTTTGGGTCTTTCAACATCATACATATTCACCCAAGAGACCCTACCAAAATGAAACCTATTCTGGCAGACATCCTGAAGCAAATTTTCACTAAGCGTAAAACAATGGCCATATAAAGAACTGTCATTGCTGATCTTGAAATAGCAAGTGACCAGTCAGAAACACTCTACGTCACTTCCTCCTCAGCCAAGACGAAACAAAAAGAGAACAAACTGAATGCTTGTTTTTCCTTCTTAGGGTCCAACATTCATAAATAAAACCAGACAAATGTGGGTTTTTTTTTTTTTTTGGGGGGTTACCCCTCAGCCCAGGAAAGATAGAAAAACAAAATTTGGAGTAGCCTGGTATTTATGAAGAAGAAAATGGGTTATAGAACAAGCATTCTGCAAGAAGTTTGAATTTTTCTAGTTTTTGTTATCTGGTCAGCACAATCAAGAAAAGACCTCTTTTCATATGGATTGTGGTTAAAAATGAATGAATTAACTGAAGCATTGTGGTTACAACAAAATGAATGGGTTCTATAGTCCAGTAAATCTTGGAATTATTTACTGTTTAGGTATCAACCAATGGGGTCAGTAGAAACAAAAAAAAAAATTCCATGTGCCAACACTAAGTTCAATCACAAATCCGTTGTAAACAGTCCAGCAGGCAACATAGTAATGAAAATTTGGTCAGAAATCCAACCTTCCCTCTGCAACAGCAGAAACACACTTTCACTCACCAAGCTGAAAATTGTTCTCATGCCAGTAAACAAAAAAGCAATGGCCTTTATTCATTGAACCATTTCTCTTATTGGCCATGCCATTTAGGGAGGAAAGAACATTAGCATAGTTTCTAATACTTAATGTAGCAAGTTTTTACTGACTATTTTCTTTAATTTTCCTTCAGCAGACAATGCACAAAACACAGACTCTTTTTCAAGGTAGGTAATTTTCTATTTCATTACATTTTCATGTTCAAATCTATGGGACAATGGAACCGAGCCATGGCTTAGAACACCAACAAAGTAAAATGAACTGTAAATTATTTAATCTAAATGAAGTGTATGATGTTTTATGACCAGCAGAAAAGCTTAAATATGAGATTTTTAAAGCAGCCACTCTGCTGAAGTGGAGTGATTAAATATATGAGAATTTTCAGGATCATATACCACTTGGCCGGAAGTTAGGGAATTCTAGTAGTAGACTTATCTATACAGAGTGGCAGTTAAAGTGAATCACATGTTGTGATGTAGAGATTGGTAATGGGGTGGGATGAGAGAACTGGTGTTCTTGCTAGAGAAGAGTTTGTCCATCATGAGAAAAGGTAGAAGTATCAGTAAAGATGTCCTAAGTGTTATCCACTTACTCCAGACCAATGCCAAATCCACAAATAAATAACTAAACAGGACTCGTATTTTTCATTTCTGGTCATAGCATTATTTTCACCTGTTTCCTTTCTGAATCAGAACCTTCCCAGTTTCTGTGCACACTGATTCAAACTGAAGTTGAAACACACTGTGGGGGTGATTCCTCCAGGGGCATGTTGACAACTATTTTTATTATTTGTTTTGTAATTAAACATCACAGCCAAATTAGTAAATATATAACATGGTTTTGATAGATTTAGGGAAGATTCTTTTTGGATTTTAGAGAAATTGAATCAGAGATAATCATTACATGTATTTGTTTGTTGGTGAAAAGGTAAAAATACCTAAATTATTAATCATTATTAATGTTTCTGTTCCTAATTTTTCCACACCCTGTAACCCCTTGTGTCTTAGTGGCTTTACTGCCTTGCTTGGGGTGATATCAAACAAACAAAAAAATGAAGTCACCCACAACAGAGATCAAGTTCAGTTGAAAATCTTTGCCTATAGCACTATGAACATGTTAAGGTCCTGTATAACATTAGAGTTAACAGATACAAAAAAATAAAATAAAATAAAAAACATAATTCCTTGATAAGAGCAAACAATAACAATGGAAAACTTTAACACTCAGTCCTGTGATTCTGTTAAAAGATATTAGTCAAAGTATTTCAGACTCTAGGTGTTTGCTTACAGTATGCTTACTCTATGTTCCTAAGTGGACCCCCATCTAATTACTGACCTTGCTCAATGTCATATTAAATACTACACACAAAATACTGAGGTAGTTAGGATATACACATATTAAAAATTGGGGGTTACTTATGTGTATTTTCATGTCCTGTGTATGTACAATTATTTGCTTGATAAGTCAGTCAGCTGTAACGCAAAAGAAAAAAGAAAAATGGTTTTGTTATACTGATAATCATTAAATATTAATTGCAATATTCTCTTAATAGCACTTGCCTTTATTCCTGACAATAACTTTCTTCTTGATCTTCAATTCACTTATATTGTAAAATTATTAATGATAATTTTCTTGACTTTCTATGATGATGTCAAGTTCCTAAAACAAATTTATGGGTTAAAAATGCAAAAATCGATTGCTTAATTATTAAATTTCATTCTTAAACACTAAAGTTCAGGTGGTGATTTGCATTCATTCATAAACCTATGAATGGACAAGTTTTGGGATGAAAATGCTTACCAAAAGAGGTGACTAAATTCTGTTGTAAGGAAAACACAAGGTAAAAATGTTCTTTTGGTAACCTCAAGGCATGCCTCTGAAATAGGAATGTTTTTTTCTATCATTTCTGAATAATGCAAAGACTATAAAACTTTACCATAAGTGGAGAGTTTCTCTCAAAATATTCTGAATAATTAGCAATTAATTTACTTTATTTGCTTGGATTTTTTGGTGGGGAGAGCGACAGACTGTCTAATAAATTATAGGAATCTTTAACAACAAAATGTGAAAAGAAAGAAAGACCAAACAAACCTACTGGAAAAACATGATATTCAAGAGCAATGTTGAAGATATTAATATGAATATATTATAAAATAATCTCATAGTATATTTTCTTCTTTCTACCCCAGGGAAAGATGATGAAGCAGGAGGGGGAAATCCACTACACACAAAAAAAATCCTCATATTGGGATAACATGCTGAAAAAAGTAAGTCCTTTTGACAAGATCCTTAATTCTTTAGCAAGTTTTATCAATGACTTATGAATCCTTAATAAAAACAGACCTGCTCCATTAATGTCAGAACGAAACAAGATGAGGTATCGACATGGACAACAGAACAAGAACAATATACCTTGTAGATTAAATAAAGGATTCAGTTTGAAATTTTGTGACGGTTTCCCGGATTGACAGATGACTAAAGAAGGCCAGAGAACACAACAGTCAAAATGTTGTGCCAACAGCAACAAAGATGAAGACCTTAGTCTGAACGTAAACAGTGTAAATACATGGAGGTACCATTTGGAAAAAAGAGGAACATACTGTTACCAAACAGCAGCAAAAGCAACAATTAGGATAAATGTGGGGAAGAAAAAAAAAAGAAATTCTTTGGAATGTTAATAGAAAAATCTTATAATCACAGCTGAGGCCCATCTCTACTGCTTCCCACCCAGCCAAAGTGCCAACACCCCACTATGTGCTCAGTCTCATCGGCTTTTGATCTTACCTATGTGTTGCTGTTGAAATTCTGCTAGGAAAGGTGACTCTCATCCTGACTGACTCCAACTACCCACACCACACCCTAGACAGTTGAGTGAGTAGCAGAGGACCATGCACATATCTTACTCACCCACCCAACTATGTTGGCTGGGCCGAAGGCTATATTTAGATGGCCAGGCAATATAATGTCAGAAATTGGAGAACTGCTCACTCCAAGAAAGAGTTGCAGTAGAGAAAGGGCACTGGGAGTAGTGGGGAGAGGTAAAACAAAAAAACAAAACAAAAAAAAAAAAAAGGAAACTGAAAAAGAATAAAAAAAAAACAAAAAAAAAACAAATAAAAGTATCACTAGCAAAGGAGAGGAAAATAAGTAAATTAAATAAATAATATACTAATAAGAGGGAGAGAGAGAGAAGAGAAGAGAGAAGAGAAGAGGAGAGAGAGAAGAGAGAGGAGAGAGAGAAGAGAGAGGAGAGAGAGAAGAGAGAGGAGAGAGAGGAAAAGAGGAGAGAGAGGAAAAGAGGAGAGAGAGGAAAAGAGAGGAAAGAGAGAAAAGAGAGAAAAAAGGGAGAGAAGAGGAGGAAAAGAGAGGAGAGAAGAGAGGAAAAGAGAGGAGAGAAGAGAGAAAAGAGAGGAGAGAAGAGAGAGGAAAGAGAGAGAGGAGAAGAGAGAGGAGGAGAGAAGAGAAGAGAGAGGAGAGGAGAGGAGAGGAGAGAGAGGAGAGGAGAGGAGAGGAGAGGAGAGAGAGAGAGAGGAGAGAAGAGAAGAGAGAAAAGAGAGAGAGAGAGAGGAGAGAAGAGAGAGAGAGGAGAGGAGAGAGAGAGAGAGAAAAAGAGAAGAAAAAGAGAGAGAGAGGAAGAAGAGAGAGAGAGAAGAGAGGAAGGAGAGAGAGAGAGGGAGAGAGAGAGAGGGAAGAGAGAGAGAGGGGAAGAGAGAGAGGGAAGAGAGAGAGAGGGAAGAGAGAGAGGGGAGGAGAGAGAGAGAGGAGAGAAGAGAGAGAGAGGAGAGAAGAGAGAGGAGAGAGGAGAGAAGAGAGAGAGAGAGGAGAGAAGAGAAAAGAGAGAGAAATCAGTTTACTCATACCACAATAACCTACATTAAATAATTGAATAAAACACTTGTATTTCAAATGCTTTATAAATCTGGCATTTTATTTTAAACATTTTAGTAGTAGTAATGATAATAAAAAAAACAAAAAATGTTACACCATGACTCTTGTCTTCTGATTTTAATTCATTGGAAGTGTTTTTTCTTTTAGTAATGTTCACCCTTTACAATGTCCCTGCCCCTGGGAGTGGTGCTTAATTGAGGTAGAGTGTTACAAACGTCACAAAAGGAAATTGGTGTGGATAGGAATGGAAGATAATGGTTAACCCTAGTTTTGAACAGGTTAAGACTGTGGTGATCGGACAGTGGCTCAAGGGAAAAAGTTGTTAAATTGGAATTTCTCGCTGATGGAATACAGAGGGAATGTGGGTAGTTTGCTACTATGTAAGTGGCATGGTATATCCTTAACAAAAAGATTTGAATTGGAGAGACCAGGGAATGTAGTTCATCCTAGATTGCCACATCTTGCCTGTGGGAGAGACGGTGGAGAATAATTTGTCATGAACAAGGACTCAGAGACACTTTTGGACTATCAGGGCTGGAGAGTGAGGCCTGGGCTGTGCCCATCCAAATATAACAACAGTACTCCATCTTTGGCCCGATCTGGCTCTTGTAAAGGATAGCACGAGGAGTTGGGTGTGTACAGGTTTTGTCTTGCTAAATTAAGATGAGCTACAGTATATACATCTTGTTCAGTAGCCTAGATTTGCCTGACTAATATATTCCTTAGGGATTAACACACATCTGTCAATGAGGGTTTTTTCATGTTTAAAGGATGAGGCAGACAAGGTGCTTTAGGAGTCATGTCAAGATACTTGAGAACACCCTCAATTGAAGACCATCTGAGAGAACAGAATTATCCAGTGTATGAAGATAATTACATATGCAAATTACTAATGTCCCACTAGTGGTTGGTGGGTGAAGAAAATGACATTAGAGTTCCATAAGACTATTACTGCTTAATTACTCTTACTAACTGATCAATTGATGAAAAATTTCAAGATGAGCATGATCCCCATCAAGTTATTCAAATTTAAGTTGCATTCCAGGGTCTTGTCTATTTTAAACTCACACACTTCTCTAAGTGTCGTAATAATAATGTCCAACACATACAGACGGAACAATGAAAGTTAATCACCCAGATAGAGATCAAAACTAGAATGTCCTTTTTCTTATTGATATGGCAAGTCCATTTGTAGCTTTGAAATCTAAAAAAAAAAAAAAAAAAAAACTATCAAAAGACAAGGACCTTGAAGTGGAAATTCAAAATATATGTCACGTAAAAACATTAATAATACTATTTGTGCCTGAGGCGTTGGGTTTGATTGGAAAAGCTTCTGATAGACTTATTGAAGGGATCACTGGGAGCCCATGGCATAAAGAAATCCAAAAGAATTTTTCTCACAAGCAGTGCTCACATCCTATGAAGGGCTTTATGTATGTAGGGTTTTTTAACTTACAAATCTGCTGACATGAAGTGGAAAGATTATATTGAATCAATTGCTAGGTCTGCAGCTAGGAAAGTTGCTTCCTTATGTTGTGCTAGACAATTTTTCTCACCAGAATCTATCTTATATGTGTATAAGACTACAATTAGTCCTTGACTTGAATATTACTGTCACATCTGGTCTGGTGTCCGTGATATATTTTAAGAGATTCTGGGTAAAATCCAAAGAAGAATCTGCAATCTCCTGGCCTGGCATCTTGGCTTCAATCACTTTCCCACTGACATAATGTAGCTTCCCTGTACCTTTTCTATAAATACTTTCATGGTAATTGTTCTGATGAACTTGCTTCTGTTATTCTATCCCCCCTCCTCCAAAGACAATGAATTGTATATATGGGGACTAGTTAGGACTTCATGGGGATTCTGAGGTATTATGGTAGATGAAGTAAGAATGGTAAGAACATGATGTTTTGGTGTAAGGAATATTGTGGTATGTTTGGTTTGGTTTGTTGTGTTTTACGGCATATCAACCTCAATGGGTTATTTAATGCCGACAAAGTTTTTATTGCTGGTAATATTTTTTTCCTCAAAAATGTATTGCTGGTAATAGTATTTTTTCTTCAAAAACATATTGCTGGTAATAGTATTTTTTCTTCAAAAACATATTGCTGGTAATAGTATTTTTTCTTCAAAAACATATTGCTGGTAATAGTATTTTTTCTTCAAAAACATATTGCTGGTAATAGTATTTTTTTTACAAAGTATTCCTGGTATTAAAACCCATCTTTACCCCAGTTTCAGGGTTAACTATTTGCCCATAGCTGGGATCCTAACAGGTGCTACCACCCTGGGTCAGGGTAAACCAGGTGGTAACACCAGCAATATAAGAGGTGGTTCCATGCTCCTCAAAACCTCCTGATCAGAGGCCTTGCTGCTGGACATAGTTTATCGTCTTACCCAAGATGCGGATGTAATTTATCATCATACCCAGGAGGGTGGTATGTTTGGGTCAGTGTTTGTGGCTAGCTAAGTTTAATGTTTAAGACAGAAGAATACCATCCTTTTTGACATTGCCCATTTTGGCCTTGTGCCACATTTTGTAATTTTACAAATAAATAATACTTTCCTCTGTTGTTCATTGGCATTTCATTTTTAAATGATGTTATTTTTTATCTCTCCCCCGCAACAGACAAATTGTACATATGGGGAATAGTTAAGACTATATAGAGACTTTGAGGTATTATGGTGATAGTAAGTAAAAATGTGTTGCTTCGGTGTAAGGTATAGTGTGGTATGTTTAGGTAAGTAATCGTGGTTAGCTAAGACAGATTGAAGACCAGCCTTTCCCTTCCCCTCTTTTGGCCTTGTACCTCATTTTTGTATAATAACAAAATAAATTACTTTCTTCTATGTCCTCTAGACTTTATGAATTTAAGCACAGCACTAGATTGTCAGCAACGTCTCATCATTTTATACTTGAAGTGGCTAGATTTAACCCTAAGTTCTATGCTAACAGTTCCTCCTATAACACTTCTCACTTGTGGAACTTTCTTCCAGCTTCTTGCTTCCCAGTCAACTTCAAAAATTTAAATGCAATGTCAAATGTTATTTTCTGTCTTAATTCTTGTTTATTTTTTATTTTTTTTATTGTCCTTTCTTTTTATTTTTCTCACATTCCCTAACACTCAGTAACTCCTTGCATCTTAAGGGCTTTATTACCTTACTTGTGGTGAAATGATTAAAAAAAAAAAACAAACAAACAAACAAACAAATATGCAGGGGAAAATGTCATGCCATTTCTGACCTGAGATTTCTGGTTGGGACACAAAAGGAAATAAGTTTGCAACAAAAATCAAAGGTAAAAAATAATAAAAAAAAACAAAAAAACTAGTGATAATAAATTAGTTGATATTCACTGCCTTTTCTTCAAGAAACACAAAGATCTTATATTTAAGAAAGACAGTGTAAACATTTATTTTTTCTATATTTCTGAGATGAGGTATTATGTACACTATTTACATTATTCGGACGATTGTCCTCATCTTTGTCGCCATGTTTATCACAACGTTTCGGTTGTTGTAGGCTCCAGCCTTCTTCAAGTAGTTGGAATGTTAAAGGACACATGGCACAGTGGATAAAGGCGTTAATTAAATCCAGTGACAGGACCCAAACAAGTGTGAGTTCAATACCTGGTTGAGGTGGTGGAGAACTTGGAGAGAGGAATTAACTGATAACCGACATCTATTAGATGTGGAACTAGAACAGTCTACCCCAGTGAGTGAAATAAAGGGTTCAGTTGGAAATTCCAACCACCTGAAGAAGGCCAGAGCGTACAACGGCCGAAATGTTGTGATAAACATGGCAACAAAGATGAGGATGATAGTATGAATAATGTAAATAGTGAGTGTAAACATTTATTTTTTCTATTTCTTTATGGACATAGTATTTAAACATCCCATTGTTTCTAATTATACTGGATTGTATAAAGGATCTTGGTATGTAGAAGTTCATAAATTTAATTTAAAATCTAACCTATTTTCTGTGTGAGTAGACAAGTATTTTAGCAGAAACAATATGTAACGAAGGATTAAAAAAAGAACGAGAAAAAAGGAAACGAAATACAAAGAATGGAAATGAAAGACATAATATCAGAAGAGAGAAAATAGCTAACTTGTTTGCACTTGTGACGTTAAATAAAAAAGAATATACAAATACACTGGCCACATTACATAGTAAGATTATATATTTATCTTGTAACGACAGCCTTACTGATAACAAGCAAGAAAATGGAAGTGACAAAAGAACAAATGGAGATAAGATGTGGTTGAGATAAGTAAAAGGGATTGTTATTTCTCCTCTGATCTACAAAGTTTGATCGTTCACTCATTCTGGGGTATCCTATATAAGTGGTGGGAGACTGAACAGTCGTTCAGAGTATAACACAAGTTAATAGTTGAGATAGACCTGTAGAAAATCAACCTGCATATGTAGTTGAGTCAGAGACCCATGGGAGAAAATCAACACATATTGTATTGTAATAGTTGAGAATTTCTTCTGTTGCTGGTTTCATCACTGGCCACAGGCATCACTGTTCATAGAAATGCTGGTGTTGATTTTCTAAGCATAGCTTAGATGTGGCACAAGGCCAAAAGTATGGGGCACCTAGTAAGGATTGAACTTACTACTCAATCATAATTGTCTTAACAAGACAAGCTTGTTAACCATTACACCACATCTAGGTGCCCCTTGATGTTACTGCTGATGGCCTGGTTGAGTTTTCCAGATATGTCTTTATGGATGAAATCAGTGTTAGTTTTTTTCATATATGTAGTGTTTCAGTTGTTCAGGAAACAAGTGCTGTGAAAATCTGCATGGTCTTTTTTCAATTGCTCAGAAAAGACAGTTTATGACACTGGTATTTTGGGACGGTGTTCTGGAAGTGGTTCTGTGGGGCCAGACAAAATTAAAGACCATTTTTGTCAGGTGAACTGGAATGTTGGAGTGAGCATTTGTTTTGAGTTCATATA